TTATTTATTCATTTATTTATTTATTTATTTATTTTTTGCTGCATACTCTTATTCTAGTATCAAAATGTTGTTACAAATCCTTGCCTCATTAATTTTCCTAGCGCTTTACGTGCCTCAGCATCATATCTGACGCTTGAAAATATTCACATGAAACAATTTTGGCTTGAATTTGGCAGAGACAAGCACAGAAATTGAAGTGGGGCATCATTAAAATTACGCACCGGCCATGCAGATGCCTATTTATTAGGGCCCAACTGAAGACGCCTTGTTTGAACGGACGCCCGCTTCAAGCGTGGCGCTCAACGAAGAGAAAAAGAAGACAAAAACCAACTCAAAGCTGACCCCAAGCAATTAAGAAATTATGTGTATTATGACGCGGGCCGTGATGATGGCAACAAAAGCAATAACAGTCATAAAAAAAAAGATATATACACATATAGGGGGAATGCGAAACAGACGCTCGACACTCATGAAATGGAGGATTATGTATACGCACCGCTGGATGGCGCACAGCTGCTGCCCCCAAACACACAAACAGATAATAGCCGCAGGCGCTTTTTTGTAGTTGTTGTTGTTGTTAACCTTTCTTTATGATTATTAGCAGCAGCAACAACAACAACAAGCAACCACAATGATACAGCAATGCCCATAATTATCATTTGTTGCATTTCATTTGTAGATGTTGGTCTCTGTTTGCAGACACAATGCTTAAGACTTTCGGCTGTCGCATTGTCTACAGTTGGCCGCCTCGACGAGGCGTGTAAATCATGGACTTTAGTGTGAAGTTTTTAGTAGTTGTAAATCTTTTACACTTCTATTATGTGGAAAGCTACGAGTTCTTCTTCTTCTTCTTCCTCCTCCTCCTCCTCTTCTCTTTCATTTTTGATGAGCATTAAATGCAAATCATGGCATTTATTTCGCTCAATGTCGGCTTCCTGGCCACGCCGAATGCTTCCAAAAACAAAAGACTGAAGACACAAACGCGCCAACGATTTTCAGCACAGCTTGCGGCCCGGTTATATAAGCGCGTGCTTGCCTTCAATTTAACCCAATCAAAGCCATGCGAAGGGGTCACAGTGGGAGCAGAGCAGAGCAGAGCCCAGAGTCGCGGCGAGAGTGAACTGGCCCGCTGTGTAGGTGGAGAAATTATGTTGACATCATCGCCAAAAAATTGCCAAGAAGCCAAGCAGCGCGTGCGCAGCGCTCTTTCAATACTTGCCAAAAAAATAAAGAGTTGGGCGCAAAAAAAAAAAAAATAAAATAAAATCCAAATAAAATTAATTTTACTTTCATTTTCGGTGGAGCTCATTTCATTTACCTTTTGTGGGTTTTGCATTTGTATTTGCGGCTTAATGAATTATATTTTGGGCATATCCCGGACAAAATTACAAATCATCTGTTGTCTGTGTATATACGGCTGTTAGTTATTCAATCTGATTGCAGTTTGATCATCTTGCGAATGCCACAGAGCAAGTGCCATCATTGAAGTCGATGGGAAGTTAAGAAACTGAATTGATAATTGGCTTTGCTTTCATTTCAATTTTTGATTAAAATTAGCATAAATGATTCAACACTTAGACGAAATTATTAATGTAGAGTAGAAATTTAGCAAAATCCGAAAAAGTATACCCCATAGATTTGAGTTTCCCGAACTTTGATAGTCTTTCAATGCATTTCCATTATGATTTTCATGCCAACAAAATAAATAAGTAAACAAATATATATTCCTTATATTCAATTTTATTCACGCTTCACTTTTGACATTCCCTTTGGCAGGAAGCTTTAGCTGCATTATTTCGAAATGTAAATCAAATTGCAGGCACTTCTATTTGTAACGGTCTGCAAAGAGATCTCTGTTGTCTAACTGACTGATTGATGAGGTGAACGGTGCAAAATGAGGAAATCTGAATGAATGTTTTATTTATAATTTGCAACTTAATCATAATAATAATCATACAAAACAGAAAGAAAAAGAAAAAAAAAACTTCGTCGTTTCGATTTGTTGCGCCTACTGAACAAAAGCGCAATGAAAGTCAAAAGTGCTTGAGCTTTGAAATTACCTTTTAATAGGCCATAGCGTAAATTTCCTGGCTCGATGCCACAGCCACAATCGCAGCCACAGTCATAGCCATAGTTACAGTTACACAGCCGTTGCGAAAAGCGGGCCAATTTGTTTACCAATTTGCCCGTTTATTGTTAAGCAGCTGTTAAGCTTACGAAACGACGCATTGCTGTCAACTGTATTTTGAAGCTCATTTTCTAGGTCAACTAACGAAATGGCTAAATGCTTAGGCAACAGCATTTCCCAATTGCCCAAAGCACTCACACGCTAAACTGAAGCCCTGCTGCTGCTGCTGCAAGGCAGCTGCACACTAATGTGCAAATTATATATACGCCTCGCCTCAAACCTTGTCGTCATCTTTCATTTTGACAATCAAATTTCCACAAATTGCAATTCAAGTTGCCTGGCTAAAGACCCAAAAGGTAATCAACTGCAGGCAACAAACGGCTGAGACTTAAGAGGAACACGTCTCTGGCGTGCACAAAGAAATAGTTTTCTTCATGCGCGTGTCT